AACATATAGCTCCTCCTATCGGATGACAGCTAGCCTCTCCGTCACTTTTTGTACTCTGAGAAATTTGCCTACATTGGGCTCGAAAGTTGGCAATGCTACCGGGTTGTACACAAAGTAGGTTCGCTTTTCGTTTCTCAAAGGGAGTTGGATGACGAGGCGAATGGCTTCCTCTGTGGCCAGGACTGCAACTTTGGCCGATGCATAAAATAGATGCATATTCTTCGGCTTCAATGCCGTAATTAACGAATAGCCTTGTTCTAATTGGACATAAATGTCACGTAAAATCTTAAACAGTTTATGGGAGGGTACCAAACTGGTGGTCAGGCGGTATGACGTCGCTGGGTCTAAGCTTAGTGCTACGTTTGATACATCCGCGTACGTTTTCATTAACAACATTTCTAGTTCTATTGTATAGCTCGTTTTCTTTACAGAATCGGTTATCCGACGCGCGGTTTGATTAAGTTGCTGGTCTAAGGTTAACAGCTCTCTAACCTCTTCCTTGCGGCGTAGTTTCATCTCTAGTATCATCATTGGAGTTTTCTCTCACGCGCAAATCTATTTCGCGGCTCATTGTAAAGAGTTCTATCCCATCGTAAATCAGTTCACCCACTTGGGTTCTCAGAGTTTCGATTCTCTCGTTTAGGGGTCCTAAATCTTCGCTCAATGCGGCTCCAAATAAAAACTTGAGGACTTTCCCTCCTAAGTTAAGTATTCCCCTCTTAACTCGCTGACCTCTCGGTAGCATCTGCAGTAAGTTGTCGACTTTCTCCTGCAATTCCTCTGCTAGCTTGCTAGCGTATCTCAGCTCCTGCCATTGAGCTGGGTCCCTTCCGACATTGAAGGTTAGGTCTCCCAATCCCTTGATTAGGTCACTTATCTATTGGGCGTGTGCCTTTACGCCGAAGTCCACCGTGTCATGCCACACGGCGCCTCTCAATATCTCTTGTTCCATCAGGAACACCATCCCCTTGTCCACTCTTAGTATCTCTGTACCGACTGGTTCGGCTCTTCCTTCACCCGAAAATTGAAATGAGCGCGTTAATATCCGCTAATTCTGCGCGATGTTTCCTCTCCGTCCGTCTTTATTCCTTGTAATTACGTTGGAGTCTCGGGCGCAATGAATACCCGTGTTGGCCTTCACTCGACTCGTTCGCCCTTGGCGTGTTGGGTGCTGACGCGTTGACATTACATGCCTCACTAGTATCGTCTCTCTCTACTGTTCGTCCTGTGTTTGTTTCCTCCACAGCTGGGGCATTCCCGCTGACTCGGCGTTCCTGCTCATTTGTATCGTGGCTTTCACGCGGTGCGTACCGGTATAGTGGCCATGCTTCACCGCCTTCCGACTCTGCGTCGTCGGACTCCGCCTCTTCCTCCCTCTCGAGGCGGGGCTCCTGTTCTCTTATCCTTCGCCTATTTTGCTCCCGTCTCTCTCGGAGCTCTTCTCTCGAAGCTCTGCATAGCTTCAACTGTTTTACATGAACGTTCACTTCCTTTCGTCCCAGCTGTATACTGTACACTAGGTCGGAGACCTTCTTCAGTACTTGGTAAGGGCCCAACCATTTTGGCTCTAGTTTCCGTCCCTTAACCATTTGCTTCCGGTATACGAGCAACCAGACAGGGAAGACACAACACGAGACGCGATATACACTGAGAGTAAGAGGAACAACTCCCATAGAGGTGGAACTATGCGCGGTGTTAGAATTGGGACAGATAAGATAAATAATCTTAACATGTTTTTAGTATATAAATATTTATTATAATTAACGAACATTTTTAAATACTTTTTAAATTTTACAATGACATAGTGGCAAGCAATGAAATAGATTAACGTAAATGGAGCACCTGATGATGGCACTATAGTGCCGAAACATGTTGTGAAATAACAAGTGAAATTGAATGCACTAAAAGACGGACATTGCATACATATCATGGATTATATTCAGGTGTTTATATTGTTTCGAAATAATTTAGTCAGGATACAGAACTTTTCAAATAATTTTACAGAATGGGCACTGGAATTTTTCTTTATTGGTGGATCTGTAAGGACCTCAAATTCGAAGATAAGATACAAATTTTCGTACAGCTGTGTCAGCAGAACTGTAGGCAAAATTATAGTTTTGTATATTCTAATTTTTATGTTTCTTTGGACAGCAGACGAATAGACAAATGGTTCTGGATCTACATCGAACCACCGCACAGTGTAGAACACACAGAACGTATACACGCCCAGGCAAGGAACTCATAGGCCATATTGTACGATCATATAAAGATACATATCGTGTGAATAGCATATCAATATCCACACACCACAACCCGTACATCACAGAAACTTGTAGTTGGGTTTCACAACCAAGCTTACTACGTAGAAAGCTTATTCAATAAGACCTACAAACGATCAATAATAAAACTGAATACTTGTGTTGACGGTGACATAATTCATACGTATATATACGTAGGTCATACTGAAAGTCATGAGCAACTTTTTTTTTTTTTTTGCATGCAACCTGGGAACAGCAGACGAAAGAGAGTATAGTGGTAGGTGGAACATTGAGTGTCTTTTGACGTCAATAGCTTGCATCACGTGACCAGTATCACTCCTAACAAAATGGCCGACAACGATATGTGGTTTCGCCAGCGTGCTGCATCGAATTTCTTGTGAAAGAGGAAATCCCTGCTGCAGAAATTCACCAGAGACTTCAGAGTGCTTATGGAAGTGTGTGCATGGGTGCGAGCAGTGTTCCAAAATGTGTGAAACATTTTAAAGATGGGAACACCAGCATCCAAGATGAGCCTTGGAGCGGTCGTCCTCGAACAGTCTCAACTGAACGCAACAAGGAAAGAGTGGATGAGAGCATTCAAGATGACAGGCGTGTGACTGTGGACACAATAGCCCGAAAAATTGGAATAGGACACAGTGCAGTACAGGAGATGATTGAAAGCTTTGGCTATAGGAAAGTTTATGCTCGTTGTGTCCGCGCGGTTATTGACCGAAGACTACAAAGGTCAGCGAAAAGCCATCACCTCAGAACTGCTGCAGAGATATTAACACGAAGGCGATGATTTTTTGCTCTGTATTGTGACAGGTGACGAAAGATGGTTTCACCATTTCGAGCCTGAAACGAAACAGCAGAGTATGGAATGGCACCATTTGCATTCTCCATCAAAAAAGAAGGCAAAGACAGTGCCATCAGCCGCGAAGGTGATGGGCACAGTTTTCTGGGATGCAGAGGGGTTTATTCTGGCTGAATTTTTGGAACCTGGGCAAGCCATCAATGCTGCTCGTTATGTCCAGACGCTGCACAAGCTTCGTCGTGCATTGCGCGATAAACGTCTGGGACGAAACATCATCATCCTCCATGCCACTCACCCCCACGCCGCTCGCCTCACATTGGAAGCAATTGCAAAGATGGGGTAGGAAGTTCTTCCACAACCCCTCCTATAGCCCTGATCTGGCACCCACCGACTACCATCTTTTCGGATTTGTGAAGGATCAGCTGCGTGGACAACGTTTTGAGACAAGCAGTGTGTCAGTGTCTTCGGATGGCTGGAACGGAATTTTACAGAAGGGGAATTTTCAAACTCCCAGAACGCTGGGAGAAATATGTACAAAGAAGTGGCGATTATGTGGAAAAATAAAGAAAGGTGTGTAGATTGAGGCGGTGTATTTGGTTTGTCAATAATAAAGCATGTTACTTTACAAAAAATTGTTGCTAATGACTTTCAGTACGACCCTCGTGTATCTGTAACACACAAGAGGGTGCAGCCAATGAAGATATATTAATTGAATTCAGTTCATGATTGTGAAGGATGAGGACTAACCCAACTGCTGACTTGTATCACAAAGCATGGGTCCTATTATGGTAGTTGTTTGTATTGTTTTAGCAGACATATTCTGTATTTTGATCCTATTATAAGTTATGTATAGGATGTCACAGGAGGAATGTGCCAGACTTCGGGAGGGTGTTCCTTATGTTAAAGTATGCCGATATAAACAAAAACACTTATGTCCAAAGTTGAACGGTTACGGAGATAATGGCCAGAGAAGTGTGAAATTTTGGCAAGTGTTACAAACTTGTTGATTACCAAATATATATTAAAACTGGGAGGAATATGTGGTTTCTGTAATGTTAAGAATGTACGTAACATCAAACTAACTTGTGAGTGTCAGGAAGCCATTAAATTGAACTAAAAAAACCCGCACGCCATGTCATTGTCGTTAGGGTTCCAAGCATTATACATGACACATGCATGGCAAGCAGTGACGTAACATGGCTGACTGCGCATTCTGGTATGTGAGTGTATGCGGCTAGTGTGAGCCATCATCACCACAGTCGAGGACAAACATCGATAAGCCTTGTCAGCTGACGGGTAAAGTGCGTGGAACCGCCAGAAGACCACCCTTTTCTTGGGCCATTATCTCCGTAACCGTTCAACTTTGGACATAGGTGTTTTGGGTTATATCGGCATACTTTAACAAAAGGAACACCCTTCCGAAGCCTGGCACATTCTCCTGGGACACACACACATACTAGATTCCTTTATCTCATGAAACATTTTTTCCCAAGCCAAATCTATTTTGTCCCGCCTGCCATAATCTGGACAGTGTTTCTCATATACGCCAGGCTCTTGCTCAATTAACTGCACAAGAACAAATTACCAGTTTCGTCCACTCTTCACACCATCTTAACAAACAAAATAATCACGCTAGCGCGTTACAGAACAGCTGATATCTAGGAATCCAAGCGGTAATTCAATCGAATTCGATTGTGTGAAGCCTGGCATGCTCCGTTGCCAGGAAACTGAGTATCTCAGTCTCTCCGTGAGTTGCGTTGCCCTTTCCTCAATATGCGCTCCGCCACTTACTTACATGTGTCGAACTCTGGCTGGTAAGACCTTTCGGATATCGCGGTTGCCAGTTTCCTTGATGAACGCTCGGCCTAACACGCGTTCAACTCAGGCTGATACACAGTTGCCTACTTGAAATCGGAAATATATCGCGGTTGCGTTTCGGTTGTCAAGTTTCCTTGGTGTGTCATCGGCTAGTGTAGTTGTGACGGGAGTGACTGGGAGTGACTATTCGAAATTGTTCGAGGTTCGAGGTGACCAGATAGATCGGTTAGATCGGTTAGATAGGCATGTAGCTGAATTGGTGAAAGAGGTAAGTGATTTGTTCCAACTGATCATGGAAAATTAAATAATATAGTGTTTTGCCTATAGTTAGGCCTTTAATATGAAAATTATCGCAGTATATTTAATGTTGAGTTTGAATAAGTTATTTTCTTGGTATATCAAAGTTATTTTTCATAAAAATCGTGAGTTGCAGAAGAATATAGAATGTCGAGAACCTAATTCCAGCTTTCGAGTTAATTGATACAGTATGAATTTATTATTATTGCTCTATGCAATGTATTATTTGTTGTAAGGTGCTGAAGAGAACGTTTAAAAGAATACTGAAAATCGGGGTTTTCATAGTTTATAATAGAATATATGAGGGGTAGGCCTTCTCGACCCTTGCACCGCGACCTTAGGTCTATTTGTGCTTCCCCTTTTTTAATTATTCCCTCAGCATCCCCACACTTTGGATGAAGCGCAGGATTTTGGACGTGGGGGCGTCAAAATAGTCACTTGGTTCCATACAGTACTGACCCAAGTGACGTAATCTTAAATAAGCTAAAGCCTCACATTCACACAGGACGTGTGTGGCTGTTTCATTTTCTATCTGACACCTCTCACAGGTGGGACTGTCACTTAGTCCCAGTTTGAACAGGTGTCCTTTGAGGTGACAGTGTCCTGTAAGTAGTCCTACCACCCATCGTAGCTGGTTCCTGTTGAGCTTCAACAGTTCCTTCGCTCTTTTAGCAGAAGGTCCTCGTATGAGTCCCTTTGTTTGCCTGAGTCCAGTTAAGGATTCCCAATATTTCTTGTGTTTCATGTTAGTCCAGTCCCTGATTGCCTGTTTGGCAACTCCTAGAGAGATGCCACAGGGTGGTTCAGGTCCTATGAACGAATGTTCACCTCCAGTTTTAGCTAATTGGTCTGCTGCTTCATTTCCAGCAATACCCTCATGCTCCAGCACCCATATCAGTTGTACCCTGTTATGTTTGACCAGTTCCATGAGGGTTTGGTGGCAATCCCAGACCAATTTTGAGTTGATCTGGTGTTTGTCGAGCTCATTAAGTGCAGCCTGGCTGTCAGATAGAATGTAGATGTGCCCATTTCTGTAGTTCCTATCTAAATTCTCCATAATACATACCTTAATGTCAAATACTTCTGCCTGGAATACTGTCGTGTACCGCCCAAGGCTGAAACTAAGTTTCTGCCTCATGCCATAGCAGTACACACCAGCTCCAGTGCCTTTATTTGTCTTGGAACCATCTGTATACCAGATCAGTCCCCCTTTTCTATCGGGCCAAAACCCGTCTTCCCATTCACTCCTGTCAGGAAATCTGACCGTGAAGGGTTTTTCATATACATGTCTAAGTATCATNGGAGATGGTAAATTCCTGCCCTGGCCTCTGCATCCAATTGTACATGCAGTGGGGGGAGTCCAAGGAGTATCTCCAGTGCAGCTGTTGAAGATATTCGAAATGCTCCTGTGATACCTAAGCAAGCCATCCTTTGCAATTTGCTAAGTTCTGTCTTGCTTGCCTTGAATTTAACTCTGGGCCACCATACTGTGACACCATAAGTAATTATGGGTCTCACAACCGCAGTGTATATCCAATGTATAATGTGTGGCTGCAGTCCCCAAGTTTTACCAAACATGATCCTGCATGTCCAAAAAGCCTTATAGGCTTTTGCTGTTTAATTTCACAGTATTATGTAAAAATTGAAAAAGAAATTTACTACAGGACCAACAAACTTTATGAAAGGCGTGCACATTCTATTAATTGACATAAGTTAGCTAATGGAAGTTGACATCTAGTTTGCTTCCAAAATTCTTGCAGTGGTTCCATGTAACATTCGCATTTTACTCTTAAGTTGCTGTACTTTGGAAGTTGGATCACTAATCCACATTTCCCATCATAGACCCATATCTCCAAAGTAATGCTTGGGGCAAGCAGTTTGATTACTTCTGATCACTGAAGTACCAAGAGCATCCATTTCAGCAGCAACAATTTAAATCGGTGTGTGTTAGTCTGAAATTAAGCTTATGGACCAGTAATTGATGTTAGATCTTTCTAATGGGCCTAACAGAGTGTGTGCCTCCAACTGCTCTGTCTGTGGCTGGAAACAGATCCAGTTTCCAAAATGCGTTCTTTAGGATACTGGATGATGGACAGAGTCCAAAAATCCAATAATCCTGAGTGTTATACACCATCATAAGAACCCTGTTGAATCTTGTTATATCTTACCTGCCTGGCACACAGGTTTCCAGTTCAACTGACATATGGTAGAATGTAAGTTTGTGCAGTTGTAAATGGAGTGGTCTAGGTTCTGAAACATCAGGTTTCTCATGGTTGAGGCTGTGATGTGAAAGAAACCAAAATAAGGAGGAGTCTGTTGAACTTGGTGGATATACTGTCGATTTATTTTCACTAAGAGGAGTCCCATTAACATGGGTCCATCTCAGAAACATTAAGGAGTCATGGAGGCGTGAAAACCAGATAAAATATGCCAAAAATAAAGGTTTTTAATGAAAAAATCTGCTGACACTTAAATGTGAAACAAAAAGAAACATTATTTAATAATGAAGCATGTTGTAAAAACTGTTCAAAATGTCTGCCTGTGTCTTGAATGCACATCTGATCTTGGTGTATTATGCATACTGTTCAGAGTGTCTTGAATATACATTTCAGTGCAGTATGTTGTGGAAGTGGTTGCATTCTCATTGTAGAGAGTGTTTCAGTTAAATTCATCACCTTAAGTTCTTTGGATCATTTTGATTCTCTTGATGGTTCTCTGTATGTGGACCAGCTATGCCTTATACTCCAAAAGATAATATACAGGGGGTTTAAATCAGGGGACCACTCACCTCCTGGTACTCATATCTGTTAGAGGCTGAGTTGAACCCAGAGCCATGGTGCAGCTGGGAGGATTAAGTCATTTGAAAAATTCACTGACCTTATCAAGAATCTAACCTGTGACCTTCCAGCTTGTACTGTAATGTCTCAACCAACTACACTACCACGTGCCCCTGTTATTCAGTTTAGTGATTAGTATTTTTTTAACATGAAAGTTCTTGTCTGCAGCAAATTTAATATGGAATTACAATAGAAAATTGCATTGTATATAGGTTTAAATGTGTGCCTTATTTAATTTGTGTTTTTAAAATTGCACAGTTATTTTCTTTTGGTGTGACAGTTCTTACCCCACATACATCTGAATGTTTTGCAAGTGTGAAAGATGGAGGTGATCACAATCAGTCTGTGCATCCAATTCTTCACTTCAGTGATGTTATCGAATACTTTGCTAAGTTTAAGGGTCTCAGGCTCCTGTGTTTCTTCCATTTTGCAGTCATCTTCTGATAAATATTCTGTTACTCTCTCATGCTTCAGGACTTATGTACAATTTCTTCTTTATCCTTGTAGACAGTGGCGGGAGTTTCATCATCTTGCAAACCCGGCTTGCATGTCATTTACCTGTAATCTATAATGAAGAGTACTGGAAGCCTCATGCACATCTTCTGTGAATCTTAAAAAGCCCTCTGTGTTCAACACTGTCGCATGTTGCAGCAACACATTTTGACCAGCAATTTGTAATTGTCATAGAACTAGTGTTCTTCCACACCAGTCCAGTATTGCAGGCTATGTTAGGTGTAACAGTTTTCAGAAATTGTGGCACTTGCAGCCCTTGAGTTAACCACTGCCATGAGAAGCATCCACCAATAATCGGCTCTAAATACTTGGATAATGTCTTGGCCCAAGGGTTGAATAAGTGCGGTAGTATTTGTTTGGTAAAAACATTACTACGGTTTTTCCAGCCTTTGATTTTAGAGAGTCAGGTGGAGGATGTGCAGGGTAGTTATCCAAGTTATCCAGCAGTGGTAGACCTTTTTAATCCCATTCTCATGAATGCAAGCAATTTTTTACAACTTGTACAAAATTTTCAATGAACCATGATACAGAAAATATTGCGAGTCATCCAGGCCTTCTTTCCACACAAGTTCAATCACTGGAGGAGAATTCCATAGCTCATGTAGAGAAGCCTCAGTGTCTCCTTAGCAAATCACTAATCACGTGCAACGTCATAGTCAGAGCGAGCAAGTAGATGCAGTCATTTGAATGAAGTTGTGTAGGAAGAAAATACTGCAGTAAAATTGAGAGGACGTTCTTTACAAAGAAAATAACAATTAGGGAGACATTGGTAGAACACAAAAATCTATGAAAGAAGCTTTTCTTAATTTGGAAAGAGCAGCAAAAAAGATGAATCTACAAATTAACAAAAATAAAATAGTACATGCCGGTAACCAAGAAAGACTGTGCTAATGGACCTGCATATATTGAAATTGGCTCATATAAAATTGAGTTTGTATGTAGTTTTACTTGCCTTGGATCAGAAGTTAACTGTAAAAATGACATCAGTGATGAAATAAAAAAGTGTGTACTTGTGGTAAATAAATGTCTCCTTGGCCTTAGGAAACACCTGAAATCCCAACTAATACCTAGGAAAACTAAAACTATGATGTAGAAAGTACTCATAAGATCAGTGCTATCTTATGCCTCTGAGACCTGGCCACTGTTAAGATCGGATGAAAGACTGTTAAGTAAATTTGAAAGGAGGATCTTGAGATATATCTTTGGACCAGTGGAAGAAAATGGAATATGGAGGAAGAGGTATAACCATGAGCTATACAAACTATTTAGTGAACCAGACATTATTGGATTTATAAAGGTGAAAAGGCTTGAATGGGCTGGACACATAATACGTGATAGCAAGAATAGAACAATCAAGAAAATACTTTATACTAAACCAGAAGGAAATAGGAAATTAATACTAAACCAGAAGGAAATAGGAAAGTGGGAAGACCAAGATTGAGATGGGAAGAATGTGTGGGGCAGGACATAAGAATTTTGGGTGTAAAGAACTTGAGGAATGTAGCATCAATGGAGAAGAATGGCGAGAAATCCTGAGGAAGGCCAGGGCTTGCAAAGGGCTGTTGTGCCAGTGGTGATGATGAGAGAGTAGACTGTTATATGATCTGCTTGATCTGAGAACATTAAGAGTGATAGCCTAGTGGCATGCCAGCTACTTGAACTAAGTAAATATTGCAAAGCATAATAGTTATTTAAGTGGTCAACAAATGCCCTACCCTTCATGGAACCTTAAGATTTATTACTGCGTTCATTGATCCTTCTCATGAACCAGAACCAGATGAATCCAGTTTACATGCTGATACTCTGCTTCCTTAAGATCCAGTTTAATATTATCTTCCCATGCTTTGGGCTCCCACGTCCTCATCTCTACATTCTCTGAGAAGAATAATGTATGCATAGCGATTGCCTTAGGGGCTGGACATCAAGGATTTGATTTGCAGTAGAAGCAAAATATTATTCTTTACTGTGCAGCATCCAAACTGGCTCGGGGGCTCAGTCAGCCTCTTAATCAACTGGGTACCAGGGGCCCTTTCCCAAGGGTAAGGCAGTTGGGGAACGAAACCGACCTCCATCTAACGCTAAGGTAACAGTGGTTGAGCTATGCCTACATCCCCCCCACATACATCTTCATGGCATGTTGTTTAATTAAGCACATGGACAAATTGATTTTTGTCCATAATGGTAAGTTAACAGTCAGAAATTGTTTAAAGGCCCAATAATAATATTTATTGTTACTTAAAAATAAAAGTCCTTCATTTGAAAATGTGTTTATGTTTTAATTACCTTTACACTATAACAAACATTGAATGTAGTGTGCATGAAATGAGAGAGAAAATGTTTAAAATTGTGATTAGAATGTAAAGATTTAAATTTTCTTCCTTCGTGAAGTTAGTGTTCCTTCATATTCTTACTAACCAGAGATGTACCCAAGTTCCTCACCAGTATTTCTCTTCATTTCTAGGTTTGAGTCACTTTCTAGTGGACGAGGCCAGGAAAGACGTTTTGCTATAAAAAGAAAATGGGATCCATCTCAAAAGAAGCATAAAAGGCATGGACCACGTAAGTTAACTGTTTCATTCCATCAAACTTATTGCTTCTTGTGTTGGTACATCACATACAGGGATCATTTTTATTAAGTTATTCAATCAGAAAGGGTGTGTCAATGAATCGGGTGATTTGGCAGCGGTGTTTCTTTCTGGATTGGTTGGAGTGGGGAGGATGCGAACTCATCGCTTTAAAAGTGCTAAATGCCTCATTGCTGAATATCACTGTGGTTGCCTTCAAAGTACTTCCCTTGGGAAGCTATGCACCGATGCCAGCACCTAGTCCACCCTTCAAAACAGTTTTAGAACTAGTTTGTGGAATGGCCTTCAGAGGTGCTGTCGTATTACTCCTGATGACATCAGTGTCATCAAAATTCCTTCATTTCAATATTCCCTTTATCTTCAGAATCATAAAAATGTCATTGGGGCTACATTTGCTGAATACAGAGGGTGTTCCAGCACAGTTATTTGTCTACTAGCTAAAAACTCACTCATGATGCCATGTGAGCAGGTCCTTTCGGACCATTTTCACACACACCTTCGTCATGTCAGGGTCATCAGTTAAGATTTTCCTACCTGTTTTTCTGTCGATGTTCACTTACTCTTCTATGCTCCTGACAGTCAGCCAACGATTTTCACGCACAATTTGATGAACTTTTGCAGTGTTTCCTTCAGTTCTGCTTTTTGCTGGCCGTCCTGATCTGTCTTCATCAATTACACTTTCTCTTCCCTCAGAAAAACTTGTTACCAACTTGTAAACTGCTGTTTTCATCATAGTATTATCCACATAAACTTGCACTAACGTCTCCCTGATTTCATTTCCACTCTTGCCAAGTTCAACAAGAAATTTTATGTTCATTCGTTGCACTAATTCAAGCTCCAACATTCTAATGATGGGTCACTAGAACACCATCAGACAATAATATGTGCCACTCAGAAAGAGACTGCTACAGATCAACAGAAACACAACTGTGAAATGCTGATATGCAGGCGTTATCAAACCATACTGAGGTTTCTGTCCACTGCTGCCACAGCAAGTATGTAATGACGAGTTTGTGAACTTCATTGTCAGACCTCATACCAACCTGTCACAGAAAATTTTCACCTGTTGGTCACATCTTCCATATTTTCTCAGAAGGCATTCTTTTACAAAGTATGTATGAATAAAGCTGTTGAAAATCCATACATTTGGATACATGAGTAAGGGAATATTTATCATTATTCTGCTTATTTAATGGGAATGTAGGATCAGCAACTCTTCCACATAAATAGCGCATTGTGAAGTTATGTTGTATTTGTGCCTCAGAGTTTCAGCTACCACTGGAAATGTTGACAATCTTGATGCCATCTGTGATGGCACCAGCATCAGGCTTTGTTTACCAAATGGACCAGGACTCAGGATGGTTGGTTAGGACCCCAGGAACTGCCCTGTCATGTTCCTGTCCCAGCACACGATATGCACAGCAGCATGATCAATCCAGCCAGACCCAGCTGTTACTGTGCTGACCATCGGTTTGTCCTAATCTGAAATGTTTGTGTAACAGGTGTTCCAGCACCATTACTTGGAACGACGAGTAGCACCCCAGTCACTCCTACCAAGATGAATGTATAAAAGAAATGTATCAAAGGCTGGTGGCAGCAGGGATTCTTCCAGGTGGAAGAGCCGATTCACATTGTGAAGAACAAGAAGAGGCTAATTCTATCAAACCTGTTGACTTCAGTCAGCCTGAAACATTAAAAATGTAAGAACTTACAAGTTAAACATCTGATTTCTTCATTTGGGAACTGTTGTGATGCTGAAAGACTAATATGTGGTAGACTTAAATTGCTATAAACATCATTTTCTGAATTCTGCTGTCTACATTGAATTCATATTATTAACAATCAGTGCGTTCACTTCCAGGCATCAGCCTGGTTTAGTGGCTCTGCAGCACGCTGGCATTCCGTGTAGTTCCTGTGGCGCGTTCATTTCCCTCCAGAGGAACGTATGAAATACAGGCAACATTTGGAGTGGAATTTCCAGCAGAACAGGTGTCTGAAGGACAGTGGTGACAATCAGAGTAGAGGCTGGTATATTAATATCTCAGATTGGATGCAGCATGAGGAAATTGAAGATCCAGAGGAAACAGGTATGATATGCAATTCTTATCTAGATATGACATTGAGGACTGCATAGAAAATGTCTCCTTCACTGCTACAGGAACGTCTTTACTGAGCCATTGCGTAGCAACACAAGGAGAGAGACACTTTACCAAGCTATTGCTTAGCAATGATAGGAGGGATACACATAGAAAGACAGAGACTGATGGGAGGGCTTTATGAAGTGCACTGTGAGATGTGCTCAGGTGCTATGATGTGCATATAAAGTTTTGTAAAAACTGGTTCAGGCATTCCAAAATTAAGGGTGGGGGGTATTCTGAGTTACACTGAGAGATAAGTTGGAGATCTTATAAATATACTTTAGGAATGTGGGCAAGAAAGGTATAATGTTGATGTTGCAGAAATCGAGCATAATTTCCCTCAAGAATCTCTTGAAACCTACAAAAGTATCACAGTACTCATTGTCACATATTGATTGATGTCCTTGACACACGTGTAGAAAACCATTATCCATGTAAACTTGCACTGACGTCTCCCTGATTTCACTTCCACTCTTGCCAAGTTTAACAAGAAATTTTATGTTCATTCGTTGCACTAAGTCAAGCTCTGACATTCTAATGATGGGTCACTAGAACACACTCAGACAATAATAGATGCCACTCAGAAAGAGACTGCCATAGATCAACAGCAACACAGCTGTGAAATGCTGATATGCAAGCGTTATCAAACCATACTGAGGTTTCTGTCCACTGCTGCCACAGCAAGTACGTAGTGACAAGTTTGTGAACTTCATTGTCAGACCTCATACCAACCTGTCACAGAAAATTTTCACCTGTTGGTCACATCTTCCATATTTTCTCAGAAGGGATTGATGATGTCCTTGACACATGTGTATAAAACCTGTATCACTTGCCCAGTTATCCTCAGAAAGAGAGAGAGAGAGAGAGGTACCCCCCCTCCCCAATTATATAATCTGTAGAAGACAGAAAAGCCGGTCATGGTAGCCGAGCGGTCTAAGGCATGCACTGTCTTCGCTCGCTTGCTCGGAAGCTGGGATTGTGGGTTCGAATCCCACTCAGGGCATGGATGTTTGTGTACAGGTAGAAGCCTTGCAACGAGCTGATCACCCGCCCAAGGAGTTGTGTCGAATGTGTAAGATCTAGATAAACCGCAGTGAACGGAGAAGTTCATGGAGGTAGGCCTAGGCCCACTGGGGCTGTAGTGCCAAGGGGGGAAAAAAAGGATGACAGAAAAAGTTTGTAATAATAACATAATGTTGACTGTTGAATGCATGAGTGGGTGATCTCATGGATGAGGTATATGGGGAGACGTTTGAAGACAATGATGAAGCAGGTTATTACATTGGCAGAGAAGGGGACTGGATTGGTTGAAGCAGTCAACAGTGTCGAGTTTTGCATTCATGATCGGTGTCAGTGGTAAAATTTCACTAGAGGTGTTTGGTGGATCTCCTGACCATGATTTCTTTAAAGGAATTAGCCAGTTTGAGTTACCTTGTAGCCTGTGACTTACTCACTTACTGATGCACATGAATCAACTGAAGTAGTCGATTGAATAAATAAATTATTTAAACCATGAACAAATTGATTTACTTTTAAAAAGAAGCCAGTTGAGTTGAGTGGTACATTTCATGCATGTGCTCTACTTCTAGACTTCATGTAACTGACAGAACTAAGTTTTTATTGTTTATATGTTGGTATCGTTCTTAGAAAAACCTTGAACACAGAAAGGCTAGTGTCTTTTTATCAGTAATTTCAGCTGATGGTAGGTTGTTAAGCTGTCATGTAACACTTAGAGAATATGATCTTCTGGGTTGCAACACTGTGTAGGTCTGGGAAAGCCCAATGTTTCAAAGGAACACAACACCTCCATCTTCAGGGTCGAAGAGCAAACTAGGAAGAAGCAGACAGCTGAGATTGCTTCATGTTTTTGCTGGTTTCTTGCTTCTGTCATGGGAGGCGGTATGTTCATCTGAAACTAACCACACTGCTTTACAAACCAGAAGCTAATACTATTCATAAAGAGTCATATCTTCTAGAGCAGGCATATCCAACACGTCGATTGCGGGACAGTTTTTGTCGATCTCATAGGCCTATAAGGAAATTATACGTGAAAATCATGTAAATTCACTTGTAATATAATATGATTATTTTCAGATTCTGAAGGGAAAATACATATTAGTCATTCCTATTTTTCTGTTCTTAACGAACAAAGTAAGTTTGTACTTTCAATGTATGTTGCTTTTACAACAAACATCATTTGTCGTGTTATTTTTACCAATATTTTTGCTTAAAGTGAGGTATGGCGATAGGAGGGGGTGCTAGATGACTGGCAGTTTTGACACTAAGAAGTCGATCACAACCTGTTTGAAGTTGGGCATGCCTGTTCTAGAGTGTAATGCCATTTAGTCTATTGAAAGTTAACTGACAGTGGTCTGGAGGAATATGTCGCCTTTGTCTTCGGGTCAGAAAATATACCAAACAAGAAGCCAGCTTGAAGCAGGTAGAGCTGTGTGCTGATTTCTGTTTATTAACAGTGACTTAGATTTAGACTAAGTCCTGACCATAGCAGTAATGAACTATTGCTGAAAGTAGGAGGTTTAACACATCTGTGTGGGTGATGACTGTTAATTTGAGATAGAGATAGGTGAAAAGAAAATGATGGAGCATGCATCAGCTTCTGTTATTACCCTCCAGAAAGTACTGTAATATCGGCATATAATTCTTTCTAATTTTCAGGACCATGCTTGTTTGACATGGAGGAGGCTGCATATGGGGCAGATATGGAGGGTGAAGTTCCCAGTGTTTCTGCAGGAGAGAATCCTGATGATGAAATTTGTACAATGTGTCATGATAAATTCAAAAAAAAAAATTAGCAATGAGAAAGAAGAATGGCAATTGCTTGGAGCAGTGAGGATAGATGGAANTCTTTTACAACAAACATCATTTGTCGTGTTATTTTTACCAATTACAAAGTTAGTATATTTGTTATGATGTTACTCTTACTTTGAGAGATGTTATATTGTCATTTAGCAAGATGCTTGTACTTTCTCCTTGGCTTCATGGTGCTCTGAGGACCTTGACAACGTCCGTGACTTGACCATTCTTCTCTATTCCCTTTTCCTGGCATGTTTTCACTTTTGGCTTTCCTGAATAATTTTCTTGTCTTCCAGCCATTTCAGTCTGGGCCTTCTCATTTTGCTTCTATTATCTGACCTGCTTTCAGGTATTTTCTTAGCCATCCTTGCTTAATTCATTCAAATTACGTGCACCAACCAGTTCAGTTCATTAGGTATAACCAGTTACGAATTTATTGCTTTATTGAGGCATGCAGTATATGTATTGGGGATTAGGGTGATTAACATTGTCACCTTAATTACATTTCTTCAATGTCTTGAAGTTTGAAAACATATTTATCTTAGTGCATGTTACCAAGATGTATAATGAAGAAATAAAATAAAAGTCTGAAGGTTGTAAATAAAAATAAAGTATTTGTTTCCCCACATTAGGGCTGCACCATGGCTCAAGCGGTTAGTTGCTGGCTTCCCACTATGTCAGCCTGGGTTCGATCCCGGATCTGGTCAAGTGGGGTTTGTGGTGGACAAAGTGGTGCTGGGGTGGGTTTTCTCCAAGTACTTTGATTTCCCCTGCCAGTCTTCATTCCACCAAATTCTCCATCATCATAATCACCCGGGGCAGGCTACAATAGCCCAATCAGTGGCCACTGTGCCGAGTGGACCCAGTTGGACTCCAGCCCGTGCTAAGCGAAATTCCCCACATTAAGAGCTAAAGAATGAATGGTGTTCATCTGTGTAGAATGCCAGAGAACATTGATTTTTGATAATAGATTTGATTATAGGTGACAAGAGTGCAGACTTCTGTCCTTGTAGTGATGCCAGTAAGACTGGCCACAAGCCAAGTACATAAACATTCCTTCTCTTCTGAATAGGTGTAGTAGTTGTATGGTGGTGCCACAGAAGATTGCTAATGAGAATGTTTTGAGACTGCAAAGTTTACATGCCATGATTTTGTTTTCAGGTGGTTCCACTATGGATGCCAGATTTGGTGACATTGAGCGATTCCCAATAGTTTATAAGCAAAGAAATCCTACTGCAACCTCAGTCCTCCAGGCCAGGAAAATTTCAGTGTGGACCTTTGCAGTGGATTGATGTTGGACATCCTAACATGCGATGTGGTCGTTGGGAACTTGAACCAAATAATCCCTGGAGACATGAGAGAACCTCAGCCAGCTTAACTCAAGTTCACTTGGGCAGTCATCCAGACCCAAACCAAAGATATGGTTACACCTTTCATGAAATATTGGGACCAGAATTTCAAGTAGTTAACAATTCTGGTGGAATTAACCAGCAGAGACCTCTGCACTTTCAGTGTTATGCATGGTTTAAAGGTTGTGCAGAGAGATGAGTTGATGGATGGCACAGGTTTCTGCAAATTGTTAGCAACCTAAATATCAGTAAGACTGTAAAGTTCACTACCCTGAAGACCACATTCCACACCTTAACAACCATAGAAACCTCCTGTCTGATATCCATAGTTCACCGACGTGAATGTCAATAGCTAGAGCACCAGGTTGTATAGTCCATAAGTTAGGGTTGTGTGTGTAGATAAATTATTGTTGAGAGAGTGAACTGTTTTATGATCTGCTTGATCTGAGAACATTAAGAGTGATAGCCTAGTGGCATGCCAGCTACTTGAACTAAGTAAATATTGCAAAGCATAATAGTTATTTAACTGGTCAATAAATGCCCTACCTTTCATGGAACCGTAAGATTATTACTGTGTTCATTGATCCTGTGGCATTCTAGCAGCTGATACCATTTTTAGCTTCTAATATAGGGAAACAAATACTTTATGTTTATTTACAACCTTCAGACTTTTATTTTATTTCATTATAAATCTCTGTAACATGCACTAAGATAAATATGTTTTCAAACTCCAAGACATTCATGAAATGTAATTAAGGTTACAATGTTAATCACCCCAATCCCCAATACATATACTGTAGGCCTCAATAAAGTAATAAATTTGTAACTGGTTATACATGATGTACTTCATGATACAAATAAATGACAATGTACAATCAAGAGTCATCAACAGCGAGAATATTCTGCACCTCATTAAAGTTAGCCTTGACTGTGTGAAAATTCAGTAAAACTCCATTATAATGAGCACCACTATACTGAGGGGCTGATCATATCTCCCTAATTATTAATTTCTTTGTAAAGAACTTCCTCTCATTTGATTTGTCTCATTCTGGTCCGTCACACTATCAATTACAGAGTGGGTAATGTTCAGTCTAATGTGACATACAAGTTCACAACACTTCAATCCTCGTTCACCTTACATGTTTCGATTCAAAAGAATCATCTTCAGAGGCGCACCACTACGATAAGGAAACACTGTCACATAAGATATTTTAAACAATATGCATTTAAGCTATGAATAATGCTCACTATATAAATTTTGATATTATCGTGATTGGTATTGATGTTTGTCTTAGGCACTCACAATGGCTCTTCTTGAAGTGTAGATTTACTTATGACGTTTCTTTTAAGTGTAATTGCTGATTATTCTGACTGGGGTTTTGCACTGCACGCAATACGAAGTTCACTCTTCCATACAGTTGCCTCCCAGTGCGTTTAAAATTGTATTAAAATTTCCATATAAAAAATTTATTATGTAAAAATATCTTGAGTCGACATTGGGTCATGTTTTCCTCCTGATGGTGGGAGATGTCGTTTATTTCTCTTGATTNTGTTGTTTTGATTGTTTGTTTCCCTTGTTTGTTTCTGTTCATCTATCAATTTGTTGTGTTTATTGTAGTAGTATATTTGGAATTCCTCTTTTATGTTCATTATATTACCCTTATTAGCTTTTTCGATGATTTCCATGACCGTTGATATTGGTCCGTATTGATGATGATTGTTTAGTATGTGTTGAGCATAAGTGGATTCATCTCTATTTAGTCTTGTGTTCCTTATGTGTTCGCTATATCGTGTTGATAATTTCCTTCCTGTTTGGCCTATGTATACTAATATTAAGATAGCATTTAAAACAAACCACACAATAGGCAGAGCACTACAAGAACAACACAACACAAATCCATACGAGCAAAGTGGTATTTACAAATTAACTTGCCAAAGTTGCCACCAAGTATACAAAACTCAGGTTATGAAACATGCAGCATTCCTCAAATTATGATAGGAGAGGCCTTTAGCACTTTCAGTATTGAACAACTTACTGCTAATGATTTGATACACTTCAAGTATACGCTCCCACTGCATCTGCAGATAATGAAAGGAGTTTCTCTGAGTACAAGAATGTGCTGCCGGACAGTAGGCGCTCAATCACCTTAGACCAGTGGTTCTCAACCTTTGTCAGACCGCGGCCCGGTAAATTCTTTTTTCTATAAGATGATGGCGTCGGTATAATTGATGCCAGGGCCCGGTAGTGGGCCGCGGCCCAGTGGTTGAGAAACACTGCCTTAGACAATCTCGGCATGTTGATTGTCATCTATTGCAAATCTGAATGACGTAAAACTTAACTATTAGAATATAATGTTGTGCCCTGGATATTAAGGAATATGATTTTATTTAACGAGGGGGGCGATTTTAAGTTTATTAGAAATTTATTATAAGTTTTATAAATACTCATAGTAATACGTTAGGTGAACTACAGGTTGGTCAGCTGGAAACCAGAGTTGAGATCACTTACTGACGTAGCACATTCCTCAGGCATCCGGCTTCAGTTGTGTATACTTTATAGAAAATGCTGACAATTCGAGTGAACGACACAGAGGCAAGTCTTGCTTGAGCACGACAGGTTATCGGCCAGTATGAATTTGCTGACTTTAGGATTTTAAGTGAGCAGAATTTTCATGAGTTTGAGAATACTGCATTTTGGAAATGGAAAGTAGAAGCCGTTTGGAGCACTCTGACTTAGGAGTCGCTCGGAGCAGTCGACCCTAGCAATTGCGTCGTAGCAAGGAGACAGGGTGGCGTCGGATGTGTTCATTGTCACTCTCTTTTGTAAGCGTGAATAGTTGCCTGTGTTCGGTCTACTGATGATTGTTAATATGTAATTTCTGGTTCAATGATTAGGATATGAATTTCCGTTTGTCAATTGTTGGTTAAAATTTGGAAGCTGATTAAATGATTCACTAGTTGCTTGTTGAAAACACCAACAATCATTTTGTTCCAGTATCCTGTTATTAATCTTGCTACTAACTGGTTCCGACCCTCTAAACCAGGGGTCTCCAAACTTTTCGAAACACGGGCCACATTAGGTAATTCAGCACTTTCAACGGGCCGGATAAAATGAGAAATTAATAACTCTAGGTATATGAGTTTTATTGCAAGCACAGAATGTCATAAACTAAATACAAAGTATGTGAGAATAAATTATTGTATATTAATGACAACAGACAGTAGCAGCAACTGCTCATATTTTCATTACAAATAATAATAATAATACAATTAATGTGAATGATGGCTCTTTTTGCATTCTTAAAATATGATTAAATTTAGGTTCAAATTTTGGAACGCTAATCACAAGTAGCGACTTTAAATGTTCATCGGATAAATTTGCCCTGTATTTCGACTTGTGTGTACTTCATCTGGGAAAAAGTTTGTTCACACTGATATGTCATCCCAAAAATGGAGATAAATTTACAAGCCGGCCGTCGTAGAATGGACTAAAGTTCCGGTAGCCTTATCAACATTCCTCGCTACCAATTCTCGGAACAGTTAGCGCAAAACTGGGTATAAGTTGCCTTTAATACAAAAATGGTAATAAGTATGACACCGGCAGTGATGATAATCTGTTACAATTACACTGCACCAGTGCAAGAAGTCTTGTGCACAAGACGGCTAGTAACGAACTGCTCGCGCTACCTAAATTTCCACGAAGTGACATTACCGATCGAGGCCGAACAAGTACGAAGAAATACCGCGCAGTNTTGTGTACTGAGTATTGCATTTAATCTTCAGATTTGGTCAAAATGATCGGATAGTCTGCACAGCACAGCATCGGCACCTTCTACCGAAGCAAATTTCCACAACCACAATCACTCCGTACATAATCCCGCTGCCTGTATCGGTCTGTATGGTCTGCATATAATCGACACACGACACAATCTTACACTTTCCGGTAGGGTGCAGCACTGATATTTCGGTGACTGCATATGATACCACTAACATAGGAAGTCAATTATGTACTTTATTAAAATACCTTTTGTATCCCTTCTTATTATTATTTCCTGTGCGTAGATCGATTGATGAAATTTGAGAAATCATAAATGCATTCATGTTCAATATCTATTTATGATCTTGATAAATTAGATGTTAGGGAACTTAGGGGCCTTAGGGGTACATTCGTATATGTTGGCTACCTTGGCTACTCTACGATTGCACGGTTCCCGCCAATTGTGGAAGGTCTGTTTCGAAGTGGGTGTTGTTTTGGTGAGGGTGGTTTTCAAGCTTAGAATAAAATAATATAAAATATTATTCATCTAATGGTGCATATTTAATTTAAATATTTAATTCGGTACATTTTATTAGAACTAATATGGATGTGTCAGAGGCTCAAATTGGTCAACAGCGTGTGCGGGATGAAGTCGGGGTTAGATGTCAGAAATTGTTTCAAGATTTCTTAGAAGAGTAAGTAATTTATTCATATCTACCTGTGAATTCAGCGATTGCTGAGTGTATGTTTCGACCTTGTTTTAGTCGTGATAGATTGCTTAAGGAAGGTCCGTTTTTTGTTCTAGAATTAATTTTTATGTAATATGCTTATTATTTTTTCCTATATTTGATGTCATATTAAAACCCAATCGATAAATACATGAATGGACGTATATACTAATAACTGAAGAAATAATTTAAACATTTGTTGGCTAACCTTTAGAACACATTGGCCCATGTACATAAGATAATCTTCCCTAATCTCCTGTCACTTCCTGTTAGGTTCCAGTATTGTCCTCAGCACTGTGTTCTGAAATACCCGTAGTATGTGTTCTTCCCTTGGTGTGAGAGATCAAGTTCTGTACCCATGTAGTATAACTACAGGCAAAATTATAGTTCTGTGTACCTTAACTTCTGTGCTTTTAGATATCAGGTTACAAGACAAAAGATTTTAAACTGAGTACTAGTAAGCATTCACAGAATTTAACCTGCTCCTAATTTTTCATGATTGTAATATTGATTTGGTATTACTGTTTCCAAACGCCACATTTTGTAAGGGTTTATTATTTATCTTTACATTGTTACCGCCCTGCATTCTGTTGATATGACATGAACATACAGTGAAGAGGGGAGTACAGTTGAATACCACATTACAGTAAATGCCCAGTTATCTGATATCCAGTCGTCTGGAATTGTCTCCAGGTGACAAAATATTCAAAGGAAGTTGATATATTTGTAAAATTATTCAAAAACAAATTTGTGATGCATATATGCTCACCTGTCATGCATTAGTTTTCGTAAGCACCATCATTAGCACTAACCTGTTGTCCCTGTGCAGATGCCATTACAGTAGAGCAGGCATGTCCAGCTTCAAACAGGTTGTGATCGACTTTTTAGTGTCAAAACTGCCAGTGATCTACCACCCCCTCCTATGGTCATACCTCGCTTTAAGCAAAAATATTGGTAAAAATAACATGACACATGATATTTGTTGTAAAAGCAACATACATTGAAAGTACAGACTACTTTAATATGTATTTTCCTTTCAAAATCTGAATATAATAATATATTACAAGTGAATTTACGTGCTTTTCACGTATAATTTCCTTATAGGCCTATGAGATCGACCAAAAATCGTCCCACCATCAACGCGTTGGACATGCCTGCAGTAGAGGATAGGTGAATTTGTGATTGTGTTACATTATGTGTATCAGAAATGTTTTGCTTATCAGTCCACTGTGTTGCCTAGAAAGATCCCATGCAAGAACTAAAATAATAATGTGTTGTTTTGACATGTTGCATTGTATAAGAGTTTTTCTCATGCAACAGGAAGATTCATATACCCGTCAAACCCTATTTCTGATATGTGCTGGATAACGGATTGTACTGTATTTGGCTTTTCATCAGCATAGCATAATTTGTATTTTGATTACCTACCACTTGATGGTAATATTTCTCTGACACGTTAGAGTTACTTATGCGGTTCATTACATATTTTTGCCAAAGTATGTGTTATTTGCCCTGTTAAAATATTCCCCCTAAGGGAGCAGGTGTAAACTAGGTTGGTCACTTTCAAACTCTACTGGAGTAGCTTAGAACATTCCTTTTATTTTAGCCATATACAGTGGTTGAACATAACACTGGAAACACTGCAGATACTGTACACATTCTTATATTAATATGGTGTCAGACCACCCTTTGCCTTCAGTACAGTCACAATCCTTCTTGGGATGGATTCATACAAGTTTTGAACTGTCTGCAGTAGAATTTGATACTATTCTTCTTGAAGAAAATCTTCAGATTGCTTTAGAGATGTTGTGGGTGTGAATCTGTTCCTCACCCTAGTCTCCAAAACTGACCAGAGTGTTTCATTGATGTTCATATCTGATGATTGTGCTGGCCAGGGAAGATGTTGAAGTTGATGTTCACCTTCATGCTCTTCAAACCATGACTGAAGAGTTCCAGCTGTGCGAAAGGGGCAGGGGGCATTGTTATTGTGGAAAACTGCATTGTAGTTCAGAAATAACGTCTGGATCATGGGATGCAACTGATTACCCAACCTGTCCACGTACACCCTTGCAGTATTTCGCCCATGAAGGGTAATAGTGGGACCAAAAGAATACCACATTATTCCTGCCCAAACCGTCACACAACCTCCTGTGTGTTTCACTGTTGGAACTGTACCAGGCATTTGGTTTATAGGCTTCCTTGGGTGTTCTCAAAATGTAAACTCTTCCTGATGTAGGGAACAGTGTGAAGGATGTCTCATCTGACCATATCACATGTGTGTTTCCAGTTATATGACTACCAGGTTTCATCGTCGTGGCACCATCATTTATGCATCTGAGCATTATGTTCAGCTGTCAGAGGTTTAGCAGTTGGAGCACTACCATGGATGTTGAATTTATGAAGCTCATGTCAGAAAGTTTTTGTGGAAATAGGGTCTTCAAGATGAATATTCAATTCTGCTGTCACTTGTGCTCCAGTAGTTCTGTTCCATGGGCTCCCTAATGATGTGGCAGGCCCACTGATATGATGTTGTGCTGGGACAGCACTCTGCTAATTTGGTTGAATATAGTCCCGACATAAGGTAGGAAGGCGACTGAGTCCAGTATAGCTTCAGGCCAACTGATGTTGGCTGAACGTCAGTCGGCCCGAAGATAAACTGGACTCAGTTGCCTTCCTGCCTTATGTCGGGACTATATTCAACCAAATTAGCAGAGTGCTATCCTGTCACAACATCAGATCAGTGGGCCTGCCTCCAAAGAAATTATCTAGTTTCCTCTGACCGGGCAAAGATAGCCTGGGACTAAGGACACTGGGTGTACACAGTATCCCATGCGAGTGCAGCAAGGTCTATAGTGGGCAGACAGGCCGTTCGGTGGACATGAGGTTGAAGGAGCATCACGGCACATCTGTCTCGGACATCCAGACAAGTCAACTGTTGCTGAACATAGCATCGATTTGGGACACCGCATTCAGCTTCAGAATACCTCCATCCTCACTACCAAGACCGGTTATATGGATCGCATCATTAGGGAGGCCATTGAGATTGAACTCCATCATGACAATATGAACAGAGAGGTGGAGTTTTGTCTCAGCAAGTAATGGAAGCCTCTCATCTGTTCCCTCAAGTAACCTCCAAAATATGGCAGACCTTATAGGCCACTCAGGTCCATCGCAGCCTCTGAGCTACAGGGCTAATGTCCTCCATTTAACCTTCCCTTCTCTCCCCCTAACACATACTCTATACCAGCTCTGGCCCACTACCTGCTGGCTATTCCACCAGACCCTTCCCCTCCCCCTCTCTACTACTACCATATATAGCCACACTAGGGTTCCCAGATACCCCGTTTTCCTCGGATTCTGCTGTTTTTTCACCCAAATTTTGTTCCTCCATTTATTGTTTACCTGGAGTGGATAATTCTCCGTTTTTTTATTTAAGTCCATTCGAATTATATTTCATGGGTTAAATATTATCATAAAATTTCTGTAATCCTTGGAAAATGACATTGTTATAGTTTCTTTCGTTATGTTGCATTTCGTGAATGTTGGCAGTACTTGAGGTTCTAAACCAAAGCAGAGGTTGTTGGTGATAGTGTATTTTTAATCCATTCAATCATCGCTAGAAAGTCGGTATCAAGTTAGCAAAAATGTTTGAGGGCGAAGAAGATCCATCAAAGACTCCTCCACGGAAGAAGTTGAAATTCCAGGCCAAACAAAATAAAATGTATCTTAAGAAATGGGAAGATATGTTTTTGTGGGTTAAGCCGGGACCAGACGAGAACCGGGCATTTTGTACGTTGTGTAGGAAGGATTTTAGTATTTCGCACGGTGGACAGTGACCTGAGGCAACATGCACAATACAAGGGACATAAATTTAAGGAACAGTGTAATTCTGGAAGTTCAAATAAACTTTCGAAATACTTTGTTAATTTAAACAATAAAGAAGAATATGACAACAGTACCGCGTGCGAACTTGGTTTAGTGTATCATGCAGTGAAACACAACTTAAGTTATTCCAGTTTGGACTGCGGAAATAAACTTGTGTCCCATATTTTCAGTGATTCCGCCATTGCTTCCAGACTTTCATGTGGACACACTAAAGCAGAAATGATAGTGAAGTACGTGCTTGCTCCTAAAAGTGTAAATGACTTTATGTCTATTTTAAGATGTCTAGAAAATACTTCAAAATTTTTTTCGTTGGCTACCGATGCATCAAACAGAAGCAATCAAAAAACGTTCCCTGTTTGCATCCGGTACTTCAACCCTTTAAAGGGAGTGCAGAATAAACTTCTAGATTTTGTTGAAAGTGCTGAGGAAATGTCTATGGCAATTACTGGTTTGGTGCTGCAGAGCTTAGAAAAGCACAGCTTGGATGTAAATTATGTGTCTTCTTATTGTGCAGACAATGCCAATGTGAACTATGGAAAAACACATTCCGTATATCAGTTGCTGCGAAGTAAAAACCCAAATTTACTGAAAGTTAATTGCTCTAATCATGTCACACCTAACACAATTAAGTTTGTAATTGACAGATTAGATGTTGATGTTGAAAGTGTAGTCTTAAAGATATATAATCACTTTTCTGTCTCCGCCAAAAGAAGAGAAGAGTTAAAATCATTCTTTGAATTTCTGAATTTGGAGTGGACTGAGATTTTGAGGCATGTTCCAACTAGGCACCTGTCATTAACACCAGCCATTTCTCGACTGCTTCAGAACTGGGAAGCAATGAAAAGTTACTTCAGTAGTATTGCCAACTGTCCAAAATTATCATCTAACATTTTCATGAAAGATGACCCAGAGGAAGCAGTGTTGCCTGAAATCTACTTTAATTTCTTAAGTGTTATTGGAAGTCAGCTGGAAATGGTAGATAAAACACTGGAAAAGTCTGACTTAAGTGTACTAGAGACTTACAAACCTGCTCTGCTGATTCACTCCCGGATTTCTTCTTGTCTTCTACCCTGAAGATGGAGGTGACACGTTCCTCCAAAACGTCGGTTAACACAGTTACTACACAGCGCTACATCCCAGAAGACGGCTTTCTTCGAAGTTGAATCATGTTTATTGCAGTGTGTTTCTGATGCAGCAGCAATGTCTTTGGCCTCACTTATATCAGAAGTAAATATGAGGGTAAGTCAATAAGTAAGTTACAAATGGATATAGAACTTAAACAAATAGGAGTACTTAATTGAAAAATGCTATGATTTGTCAGCATAATGTCCCTGTACATTGAGGCACTTGTCCCATCATTTCACAAGCCCCTGAAAACCAGCAGCATAACATTCTCTGGGCTGCTGTTGGAACCAGGTGGTGACTTCTCTTTCTACAGCTTCATCATCGAGAAAATGTTCAGCTGAAAGATGATGTTTAAGAGGGCTGAACAAATGGAAGTAGCTTGGAGCAAGGTCGGGGCTTTATGGAGGATGCTGAAGGACTTCCAGCTTGAAATTTTGCAGTGTCTCATTTGTCTTGTTTGCAGTATGGGGACATGTGTTGTCATGCAAAGCAACACACCTTTGGTGAGGAGTCCTGGTCGCCTCCATTGAATGGTGTTATGAAGTTTCCTGAGGATGTTACAATAGGAGTCGGCATTTATGGTTTGTCCTTGAGGCTTGAATGTGGTGAGCAGTATGCCTTCATGATCCCAGTCACCGCCTGGTTCTGACAGCAGCCCAAAGAATTTTATGCTGCTGGTTTTGATAGTCACTTGGTTCCATAAAGTATTGACCCAAGTGATGCAATCTTAAATAGTTAAGGCCTCACACCTACACAGCATATGTGTGGCTGTTTCATTTTCTTCTTGACATCTCTAACAAGTGAGAGTATTACTTAGTCCCAGTTTGAAGAGGTGTCCTTTAAAGTGACAGTGTCTTGTAAGTAGTCCCACCACCAATTTCTTATTTGTGTACGTTCTGTGTCCATTTGTAACTCATTGACATACCTACGTAACTGTCACTGTGAACAGAAAGAATTTCATCATTGGCCTACAAGCTGTGGTTACAAATTGATACATTTCTTTTATTTTGTTTCTTCAGGCTTGTTTTCTGAATGACATCTTTATTATTTTTGTTTCCTCATCTACTTGTGTTTCTTCTTCAGTTTCTTTTCTTTCTGGTGTGTCAGTTAAAATTTTGGACTTGTCCCAATTTTTCCCCAGTATCTCTCTGCTTTTCTTAGTGCAGCTTTTGGAAATGACCTAACATTTGTAGGAGGCAATGTAGGTGGCCTAGAAGACCTTTGAATAGCAAGGATGAGGCTCTTTGAGTATGATTTGAACATTAGGAATGTCATGGATGTACTGTCTGAACTCCATATAAGACCATCAAGAGGACACTTGGGTGTCGATAAATCCTGGATAAGGTTAGACAGTGTTACTATTGGTTGTGGGCAAGGACTTATGTCAAAATATGGTGTTGACAGTGTGACACCTGTGCAGCTGGTCTGGGCCCCCCAAGCAGGAACAAGGGCATGATGCACCTGGCCCTGGACATAGCAGAACACTTGCCTCAAAGCACTGAGGAAAAATGCCATCTCCTTTTCACTATGGACTATTGTCAAGTGGCTGGATATGTACATCCTCTACACTGAGGAACTTCTTTATATACTTCCCTGCAAGAATACCGGCGTTACAGTGCCACCAACATTTCCTTGACCATGCATGCATATGTCATCCTGGGATACGTGTTTACTGTGACAGTGCATAGTCAAGACATCCCTCAACATCTGTGCAGTTCAAGAACCCAGTCATGTCTCATTATGATGTTAAATTTAAGTACAGATCCTATGCAGTGACTGGATTTTGATCCACGAAACCTTAAATCAAGATTCTACTGAACTGTACAGATTGAACAGCATTCATTTGTAAATTGTAGAATAGGTTAGTTCTTCAAATGTGAAAGTGCTGTAAGAGAACAATATTGAACATGAATGTAATAACTAAGCTTTTTCCCTACTTCGTCGACATTTCTTTTAGAAATGTAAACTCACTTCATTTTGCCTATTGTAAAAAGATATTA